AGAAACTGTAGCTCCCTTTATTCCAAATCTCCAAAACCAAATCACCTGGTTCAGTTGACTCACCCAAGTGGAAAGAGATAAGAATGGGACCGTGGATTCTCAACCAGAATCCCATGCCGCTGCAGTCAGCTGGTCACTGGGGTGCTAGAAAGCCTCCCCGCCTGACACTTCACCTTACCTCCTGCAGGCTAGGACTGGGGCTTTGTCCACCCTCTCCCACCTTACAGAACCAGCAACATGGAGCTCAGAAGTGGAGAATCAAACCGATTGATGCTTAGTTGGGCACCAAAAACCTTTGCCTTGGACTCCCCTTTCACTCCTTCTCTTCTGGGGCGGATCAGTAGTGCAAAGCAAGGCCCAGAGGTGAGATGAGAGTGGGCTCTAGTCCAGAAGTCTACAAACTACAACTGTCCTTTTATCATCCCTGTGGTGGGCCGAATAATGCTGCACCTCCCCCACACCAAAGATTTCCACACCCTAACCTGTGAACATGTTATCTTATATGGCAAAAGGGACTTTGCAGATGTGATTAAGTGAAGGATCTTGAGATAGGGAGATTACCCTGGATTATCCAAGTGGGCCTAATATAATCACAGGCATTATAAAGACGGAGGCAGGAGGATCAGAGTCAGACAGGGAGATGGGACTGTGATAAGAGAATTGAGACAGAGAGAGAGAGAGAGAGAGAGAGAGAGAGAGAGGGAGAAAGAGAGAGAGAGAGAGAGAGAGGAGGCTGCAGGAGGAATCGATTTGAAGATGCTGAAGCTGCTGGCCTTGCAATAGGGGGAGCGGCCCCTAGAAGCTAGAAAGACAAGGCCAGGGATTCTCCCCAAGAGCTTCTAGAAGCAATACAACCTTGCTGACACCCTGATTTTAGGACTTCTGACCTCCAGAACTGTAAGGTAATAATTTGGTTGTTTTAAGCCACAAAATCTGTGGTAATTTGTTACAATAGCTATAGGAAGCTAACACGACCCCCTTTCTGTGGCTCGCTGGGAGTCTCAATCCACTGGTGGATGCAGCTGTATCTGATTGAAGGTTAGGAGGATCGGTTCATTTGACCTTTTCACCAAACCCCACTAAGAAGCTTTATGGCACTGTAAGATCATCTCACATTGATCATAAAGGTTTCTGGTAAAATAAAACAGCCACTATAGTGATTCCTATGGCTCCCAGATCCTCAAAAGGCCAACCACAGATCTGCAACCACTTGATATCCACCTGAAGTCTCAACCACCATTTGACCTTCTGAGGTCTGTCAAAGAGGACCTTTAATTGAAATTTAAAATAACTGTATTTTTTTTTCTTATTAACAAAGTAATACAGCAAAGACATTGGAAAATATACATGAGCAAAAAGAAAAACATAACATGTAACAGCCTGAACAGAACTGACTCCATTTTGTTAAGCCTTAGAATTTAAAAACTTGTTCTCTCCTGTAACCCAAACCACATAGCCTACAGCTAATTGCCAGAACACAATGACTCTTGCTCTCACATTGTACACAAGTAACTAGAGAAAAATTATTAACCCACATGGCCATTCTTTACTAGCTTACTAACCTGATCATATTTGAGAATAACAGGAACTGAACCCATGGAGAATAAAGTATGACACTGGTCACCTCCCACCTGGGAATTTCCTTGATTATTATCTGAAACACTCAAGCCTGTCTGTACATCCCCACTTGGTCACTATGAATCAACTTTTCATCAGAGACCCCTATAAAGCCCTTTGGCAAAGCTGGGAGGGGTGGAGATTGTCTTTGAGACACAAGTCCACCATTTCCCAGGCTGCCAGCTTCCTGATTAAAGGCTACCTTTCCTTACACCAACTGCTGTCTCTCAATTATTGGCTATTGTGCGGCAAGCAAAAGGACCTTTGGGGTCTCAGTAACAGACCAACACTAGATAACTACTGCTAACACCATAATTATCTTTCCAGACCTTTAAAAATAACTATACAGAATTTAAGTTAATCATTCTAAAAATACTACTTAAAATTTTTTATATACCATGAATATCTTTCCATGTCAACCATATCCATCTGCAACACTAGTTCTCAAAGAGTGATCTGGGAACCCCTGGGGGTTCCAAGACCTTTTCAGGGGTTCGTGGGCTCACAAGTATACAGTAAGTTTCCTAGAGGCTACATAATATATGATATTGCAACAGTTTTGTTTTTTTTTTCCTTTTTGTCTTTTTTCGTGACCGGCAACAGATCGCAACCCTCAGTGTCGCGCCCGTACCGGACCGGGACCGGCAACGGGATCGCAACCCTCGGTGTTGCTCCTGCACCTCGCTCAGCCAGTGAGCGGCCGGTCTGTATGTGGGATCCGAGGCGGTCTGTATGTGGGATCTGAACCCTGGGTGGGAGCTCCGCCGCTTCCCAAGCGGCGCACTGTAGCAGTGCGCCACCGGGCCGGCCCTGATATTGCAACAGTTTGAATACAGAAGCAGAAATAAAAATCCAGCTGCCTTCTATTAAGCTTAACATTAAAGAGAATAGCAAAAATCTAGAACCATGCCCTCCTGTCACTGTGTTCTTTCATTTTGTAACACTGTATATACTTATTTTTCATAAAATATGTTACTCATGTTACCATATGAGTTTATTTTTAAATAAAATAATGAATATTTAAAAAATTTCTCGGTTGTAATTTCAAAAGTATCGATAGATGTAGCACACATAAACAAAACCTTTTTGGAGCCCTCCCTAATTTTCAAGAATGTAAAGGGATCCTGAGACCCAAAAGTTTGAGGACCTCTGATCTACAATATCATTTTTTAATGGCTGAATTAGTCCTCTGATCTGGAGTGTCGTAATTCATGTAACCAGTAAGTAATGCAGAAGAATAAGATCCTTGAAATTATATTCGTGTACACCCTTATTTATATCTTTAGGATAATTTTCAAGGATGTTTTTTTAATCTATACTTATTGTACAAAAAATAGAGCGACATCAATAATGCGAACCGCCCTCAGCCAATCAGCTAGGTCCATCCTTTCTGTTTCCTCCCAAAAGGGAGTGGAAAGCATTTAAGACTCTTTGTAGGGCCGGCCTGGTGGCGCACTGCTATAGTGCCGCTTGGGAAGCGCGGCGGGCTCCCGCCGAGGGTTCGGATCCCACATACAGACCAGCCGCTCACTGGCTGAGCGAGGGGCGGGGGCAGCGCCCAGGGTTGCAATCCTGTGGCCGGTCAGGTCCGGTGCGGGCGCGACACTGAGGGTTGCGATCCTGTGGCCGTCCCGGTCCGGTTCGGGCGCGACACTGAGGGTTGCGATCCGTTGCCGGTCACGAAAAAAAAAAAAAAAAGACAAAAAAAAAAAAGACTCTGTAGCTTCAGGGTTTGACACCAGGTCCTCATTTCCAAGGGGCAAGTGCCTCGTGGATCGTCTAGTCCAGTGAGCTTCAAGTACATCGCCCTGGAATCTTGTTTAAATAGCGAATTCCCAGGGCTGTGGGAAAGAACTGAGCGCAACTCTCGATTTCCTTGAACCCCATGTTTCTAAAACAGAGGCTGAAGCGAGTATCCCCGTGGGACACGCTCGGGCCCGCTCTGCCGCCTAGGCCTCGGGGGCGCGCTGTGGCCATCGTCTACCCGCAGGCGTCCGCCCTTCCGGGCCAGGATTCCCCGCGTTTCCAGTGCCAAGCACAGTGGCAGGGACGCATGAATCGCTCCACGAACTCCGGAAGGCTCTACCCTTGGAGGTCCTTATTCAGTAGGTCTGAGGCAGATCCCCGAAATCCGCATTTTAAATCATGCTGCCTCTGATGTCGAATAACACTGTGCCTCGGATTCAGGGGCTCACTCTGAACGCACGGCACGTCCTCAGCTCAGCCACCAGCACACGACAAGCCTTTAATCCTTAGTAGCTGCTGATCTGCACGCTCCGCAGCCGAGGGGACCGCGTGAGTGGGTCCGACAGGAAGGTCTGCGGGAGCCGGGCGTGGGCTGCGCAGGG